TGCACAGGACGGGAGCTGACAGGCAACTGGGATCCATTGGGGGAGGGGAGGCCGGCAGCTCGGGCACAGGCTCGGTGACTGCAGCTGATCAGGAGTACAGCCCTCCTGGGCCCGCCGGCTGACAGGTGAAGGGCCAGGGCATCTGAGCCCCGCAGGGCCCCTGGCTTCATCCTCAGGGGCGGGGGGCTGGGACTGAGGTCTCTGTGGGGCCTTGGTGCAAGCCCCGAGTTTTCAGAGCTGCCGCTGCCCCGATGCAGGACACGTTCATGTTTTGGGTTTTTGTGTTTTTTTTAATCCGCATCTGAGGATATTTTTTTCATTGTTTTTAGAGAGAGAGAGCAAGGGAGAGAGAAAGAGAGAAACATTGATATGAGAGAGAAACAGCGAGCAGTTGCCTCCTGTACGCACCCCGGCCGGAGATCAAACCCGCAACCTGGGTATGTGCCCCACCAGGAATCAGAACCTGCGACCCTTCGGTGCACAGAACGACGCTCCCACCGTGTTTCTATACCGGCCAGGGTTGGTTTTCATTTTTTAAACAGAGAATGACATATTTTATCTGACTTTTGAAACTGAACACTGAGCCGGGTTCTGCGGGGACTGGGTTTCGGGGTGCTCTTTTAGGGAATGGACTGGTTTGGGGTCTAGGCCCCCAAACAGATCCTAGCTACTGCCACCACTCTGCTGACCGCCCTTCCCCCGCAGCACCCTGGACCTGCTGGACTGGAGCAGCCTCATCGACAGCAGGACCGAGCTCTCCAAGCACCTGGTGGTCCCTAACATGCAGGTGACGCCACCCCGCTCGCCAGTGAGCCCTGTCCCAGAGGAGGCTGGGCCTGGAGGGGCCATGTTCCTGTCGCCCATCCTGGGCCAAGACTACTGTCCTCCCTGGCCCCACGGGACCCCATGGTCCAGGGCAAGGATGTCAAACTCACGGCCTGCGGGCCACATGCCTCATTTATGGTATTTGGCCCGTTAGCCTTTGAGTTTGACATGCTGGGTCTAGGGGGAAGAAGACAGACCCACTAGTGCCCCATAGAGTGGGACAGAGACCCACGAGGCGAGGGACATCTGGGGAGCCTTCCCATGTCATCTGCCCTTGCATGTTGGGTCACCCCGAACCTCACGGGCCTGAAAGGACTACGCTCATATGATCCCCTTCCCAGGCTCTAGGTGGTTCTCTCTCAGGGTTTCCCTTGCGGTTGTACTTGGAGCGGCAGAGGCTGGGGTCAGTGTGGAGGGTCCCCACTTGCATGGCCAGCGGCTGGCCAGGGCTTCCTCACTGTGTGGCCGCTGGTTCCCAGTGCAAGTGTCCCAGGGGCCAGGCGGAAGCTGTCACCTTTCCTAGCCTCGCCTCAGAATCCCACTTCTCCCCGCCTGACTGTTGATTAACAGTCAGTCACTAGGCGGCCCGTGTTCAGGGGAAGGAATGAGACTCCACTTGCCCCGGGAGGGTGTCGGGAACGCGGAGGCCGTGTTTGAAATCGCCTCTGAAGCTGGATGTGAAGGAACCGCAGAGGCAAACACTGCCTTCCACACACCTCCAGCCGAGACACCGCGGACCCCCACTCCTCCTCAGAGCGCCCTGGCCAGGGTTAGCGGGCAAGTGGGGAGAGCAGAGGGCCCCAGTGC